GAGACAAACCAGTCAGGAGTCCAAGGGCATCAGTTCCACACACTTAAGACCGTTTAAAAAGAACCAGAAAGACTGTCAGGCACATTATTTTGAGGACAACCATAAAACCATTAAATTTCTGTAAAGAGACTTTCTGAAAAATAACACTACTTTAGGTTCAAAATATTACCTGGTGAATTTCCCAAATACAACAGCAATTTCATATATTGCTCTGACATTTCGACTAGTATTTATGGCATATTACCACTAACACCTCTCATCCAAGAATCTTATTGTACTTTACAAGTATTAACTGTGTCACTAATAGTTCATTCATCGTTTAAATGCAAAGGTTCAGCAAAGAGAGATTTGGTTACCTATTCTTGGACACACTTATATAACTGAAGAGTCAGAGAGCATCATGACTGCGGAGAGATTCAGAGCTCACAACTGGACATCATTCCCCAGCTCCTGCTCTTAACATCACAAGCCATTTTAGTCAAGTGTTCTGCACACCTGTCAGATCTGTGCTCAGTCACCCAGGGCAAGAAAAAAAAACACCTTGTTTTTGCATGAGCGGACAACTTGAGGTGCTGCTCCACACAGCAGCTTAGGCTGATGAAAGCTGCAGTTGGCAGGACAAACCCTTCACTCTCCCTCGTCGCGGTGTATTCCCTCTCGCTCGTGCCTGTGCCAACACCGACACAGTTCAAGGACCTGAGCAAGCAGAAAAAGCAGCCAGCAGAAAATACTTGGCCACATCAACTCCCTCAAATTAGATTACTGTCAGGAAAATGAGCAACACTGCCAGAGCAAGGAAAACATCCTGTGCTGCAGAAGAGGAAGAAATGGGATCACAGCACAGCTGGCTTAGATCTGCATAGACTGGCATCGAGTTGAAACCTCTACACATTTTCTGTTGAGTAACTGAGTACTAAGACTGCTGAACTCCACTGTCTTTCCCCTGCTCACCTGTGGGCCTAAGAGGCTCAGTATTTTTTGCCATTAATTCACTTACAAAATCACAGAGTGGCTCAGCAGAGCTGTGAAATATATCTCCAAGTGCTCTAGCAGTACTCCTGGAGAAGTATGGCATAGCAAATATAATTTAAGTGCAGCTTTTCTGTGAGATTGCTCATGTTGCTGGCCACAAGACCTAGCTGTGTACTGCAGAACTACTCCACCTCCCTGCTCAAATCCTGCACTTGAGTGCCATTCCTCTTTATAAGGATGGATGTGTCACATAGCCTTTGGATGGAGAAGCATCACATGCAACGAGAGAGGTTTTCTCAATCAACAGTTTCTGGTCTCTCCAGCTCTGCAGTAGCAGAACAGTAGTGTGTGGGCAGACAGCAGGCTTCAAGTTCTCTTGCTCCAGTTTCCTTATGGTTTCAGCAATGTTTAGGCTGCTAAATCACACCATTTTTGAAAAACACATGAAAGCATTAGACAGAAGACCCAAAAAAAGGAAAGTAATAATTGTCAGTGTCTTCTCAGTAGACAGACCACCAGACACCCTGCTAAAGATAGACGTCCCAGAGAATACATGATTTTCCCTCTCTTCTATGAAAGCAAGAAAACAGATGTAGACTACTCTCAAAAAATTGGATCCATCAACTACAAATACTACCACTACAAAAGGAGAGAAGATCTCTTTCTTGGAGGCAAATGGCACCAGCCTAAGCTGGTAACAGGATATTGAGCACACATGGAGATGTGTTTGGCATTTTCGCCAGCAGCGGGGTGCTGCACTGAAACAAAACCAGTTGACAGGGTGATCATCCTACCAGTAGAAAGGCGACATTCTGAAGAAGCTGAATGAACACTGGTGTTATTCAGCAGAGACAGATGTCTGTCTCTCCTCGTGGTTTCTAAAGACAGTGCTAAAAAAAGGTGAATGAACTGTTAAAAGTTCTGTGCTACAGATAACAGCAAGGAAGAACCATCACACCAAGGATGAGTGACTGCTGTAGCATGTCCATGAGCTGTCGCTCCCCCAACACTAATACAACAGGACAGGAAAGTCCTTATCTGGGCTAAGGAGATTAGGCCTAGACTAAAAAAGTAAAACAACACAGGAAAGACTATGCTGCACCCAAAACCTTCTGCCTTTTTCCTAAGCAGGTACACCACTGCGCCTTTCACACAGCATAGCCTTCATAATTTGGGATGGGATGATGCAGCATATACTTTGAATTGTGCCAGAAATACTCAGAATTCCTTTACTGCATTGTCCTGAAGGAACTATTCATGTCCGTACATTGCTAACTGCTGTTGTAACACAGCTCACAGCTCTCTCCAGAGAGTGAATACTTGGTCCTACAGCAATTACGCTCTTCAGAAGGATATTCCACCCACTCCTACACTGACGAGCTAAATTAGCGCCATGCACAAAACGCCAAGTTAAAATTTAAGTATCAAATCTCTCCTGTTGGTACGGCAATACAACTACAGGCTAAACGGGCTCCGGTACAAGTAAATAACTTCAAACTTTGTTTTCCTGAACAAGGCTGCTCTAATATTTTGACAAACTGATTTTTTTTGTTTGTTTGTTTTCTAGCACTCTAGTACACAACTCTAAAAGGTCACTCTGTCTTCCTCCTGAAGAGTTCGGTATTACTCTTCCATTCTCAGAGAAGGTCAAAAATAAGTAATATCTGCATGTTCAGTATCTAAACACTGCACAACACTGTGCCACCTATCTAATACTACACCACAGTGCTTGGTGCAGTTATCAGGAAGCATTCAGAAATCCAGCTACAACGACAAGCTGCTGAAAATAACTCTCTCGCATTTCCCACAAAGGACAATTTCCAGCCCACCATGAGCGTACTTTATTACTTTTCTACAGAACTATAAAGAGGTAACCTTGCTGTAATGTATTTCACATGCAGAGATGCACAATGTACATGTGCAAAAGATTATGCATGTGAATTGCAGAGTCATGTGATACTGTTCTAGCACGACGAATAAACTTCATTCATTACAATCTGAAAGAACTGCATTTTTTCCCTGATGCACCCCGCCATGAACCCACTTCCTCCAAATTTTCATCCTCCCCCAAGAGCAGGCACATCTAAATAAACATCTTTAAACTTGAGTTTTTCGCTCCCCCTGCTGCAAACGTTAAGATCTCCTCTCAAAAAATTACCCTTATTCAGAAAAACAGGACAGAAATAATTTAGTCTTCGGATCAAAGGTTTTCTTACACTGTAAGGCAAAAAGAATCTTAATCCATTCCAATGATACTAACATACAAAAAACCCACAAGATTTTGAACAAAGAAATGGAAGATTTCGTCCTTTCCGTGCCAGCCAATGCTCATCTCTTACCCTAAAACAGCAAGAGATTATGGATCTTAAAGTGTTGCTTTTATGCGTTGTAAAAACTCTTTTGGAAGCTTTTCTGACTCCTTCTGACACCCGTACTGTCAGGTCAACGGCAACAAAATCTTTACAAGCGGGTTGTTACATTTTTCTTGGCATGTATTTTATAGAAAGCTTGGTCAAGTATTTTCTCCTCAACACAGAAAGCACATTCACTCTCAACATGTGCACACCTACGCATGCTTCTGTAGAAAAGTTTTATTAATGTTCCTTTGGAATAGCCAGTATAATTCACTCCCAATTTCACCACTCACGAGGAACGAAACCATCACAAACTCTCACTGATAAGGGGGAATTACCAGTCTTGTCATTCTGCTTCACTGCAGATAAAATCTTGGAAGATTCTTACGCTCAAGGCTTTGTCCGCCTGGAGCAAAATCTGCAGAACTCAAAGCTCTTAAAGTTTTTCTAGACCTCATGGATGACAGTAAGATGACTGGAGATACCCCACGCCAAGCTCATTCCTCACGTCCTGAAGTTTAATTCTTCCTTTTAACAGAGCCAGACAGCTTCAATTCTATGACATACTTTTGCTTAGAAAACCCATCATTAACCTCTGGCTGGACATTCCCAATCAAATTTTTCGCAAGAACAATATTGAAAGGAGGTGAAAATTTGTATCATGGAGAAAAATGATCAAGATTTCTTTAATAAAAATACTAACTCCTCTAGAAAGATAAAGAAGTGGGTGAGGAGACAGTGGAGGTGAACAAGGCCCATATCTCATATTTACCATGTCCAAAAAGCATCTAAACTCACACCATGCACATAGTTGGCTATACTTATGTAAACAAAAAAACTGTGTGCATCACCGCACAGTCAAACAAGCCTTTAGAGCAACAGCTAAACAGACCTGTGCCCCACAATGAAAAACTGTGCTAGAGTAGGAGGCAGAGAGCATTTTTCATGAACAAGCCAGAGGTGGAATGACCATCATAAATCTTGCCACCTCTTGTAAATAATGCCAGGCTCATTTCTTTGACCTCCTCTATCAATACTGGGTGAGGTCTACGTCTCTGCACTATATATAAAGGTAATTCCAAAATAAATAAATTTTTAAAAAAATCTAATATGCATATGTTAGCTTCACAGCAAGAATGAGAGAACAGACATGTGACAGATGATAGCTCTGCTGCTTGTGAGAATCTCAGATGCCAAGGTGATAGGCATGGTACCAGAATAACACCGAAGCAAGGTACAGCTTTAGTACACTACAGTTACGAATAAGAATCAAATAAGAATTCCCTGAAAACATGCTGGCAGCAAGTGTCTCAGCTGACTATAACCAAGCCATAATGACAAGAAAAGACAAGCGATTAGAGCTGTGACACTTTGTAAGACAGGCATGACATGGTAACACAGAACAAAAATGTCACTGTTTGAAAGCTTTTGATAAATCACTTGGTAGGCAAAAGGAATCAACTTTTCCATACACCATAAGGATGAATCCACAGAAATTTTTCTGCTGATATTTAAGCTCTCTGGAGTTTAACAGTCTGTTTTAAATGTGGCCACTTACCAAAAAACAAGGCGAATTCCAGCATAGCTGTCTCTCGAGTATGACAGGTATTCCCTGGTATTCTGCTTCTAAAATCTGTTCCAAGCTGAAAATGTGCCCCGCTGAAGGATTCTTACCTGCAAGACATCTTGGATCTTCACCCACACATCAACCATGTCATACAGCTTGATATCACCATCATACTGGCTGCAAGGAGAGGCCACTGTTTGCTGAAGGTGTCCGAGGACAACAGAGTGTGCAGCAGCCACAGCGTTGAACTTGTCAAAGAGAAGCTCCAGCAGTTCCAGCAGTAACCTGTAAACCATCAAGACAACCTCCACTTAGTTTCTAGAAGACACCATAGGCACACAGTCATGCAGCACATCAGAGCAGCGGGACAGGAGTCAGACGACTGTGACTTCATATATCCTCTTTCATGACAGACGCTGTGTGCAAGCTGGGAGGTCACCTAGCTTCAAACCCCCTCTGTGGGCTTCAGGTGACTAACTTCAGTTTTTAGCAGCTCAGGTTTGGTACCTAAATACGCCTGAGGATCTTCCTTCTCACTCCCTCCTCTATATCAGAGTTGCTCATTTTTAATGTGTTCTCCTTGGGGGCACAGGAAAGACAAATGCACTAGTAACTACACAGTAACTACACTTCAGTACCATGGTATGAGAGACCATTTTAAGTTCCCAGACAGAGCTGTAGACAGGGAGGGAGACCTGCTCCTCCTCCAGAAGAAAGTAAGAGCCTCAAGTCAATAAAAATTGACTTATCCGTACAAACAAGATACTAATTTTGAATTATGAAATGAGTAGTATGGCAGGTTTTACACAACACAAAAGATCAGAAACCTAAAACATCAGGCCTCATCAACTGTGTCAGTTATCAAGCTTTTACTACTATAAGGAAGGTGCTACAGCTATAACCTCCTCTGAATGTACTGCACTTTACCTGCTCCTATGGCTTCCTTACTGCCCAGTTATTGTAACTAATATACCTTCGCAAAGTCCTAAATATTTTGTGATAAGGCAATGACTCATCACGTTTTATATTATTTAAGAAAAATTCTGATCAAGTTCACTGACGTTTAATGAGCAATTCAAGTACACATGTAACCCCAACAAAATGTGAAGATAACACTTCCCAAATCCATATGTTAGGCACTTCTAGCTCTGACAGACAGGCTCCATCACATTTAACTGCAGCAGCTTAGGAGTTACCACATGCTTGCTGTGTCTACCCATCAGAAGTTGCTATATCTCCAGAGCAGGACAGAACTGGAGTAGCACCCACTCCTTAACCACCACGCTTCAGTCTTCTGTGTTAGTTAACAATCACTAATGAGGTGCGTGTTCATGTCTGGGCCACTTCATTTCAGAGTGCTGAATACCTGCATTCATCTACTTTCATCAGCTGTTTAAGCCAGCAGCTGGATAGTTACCTGGAATAATGAAGAAGCTGTTGCACATTTGATGATGTTGTGGCTAAAACCACCCACCTTAGCCTACAGCAATCCTAGACTGAACTTCTAGTCTGCAAAGGACAGAAGCTGGTTATTCCTTAAAAAAATTACTATCAGTTTACTGTGTCTCATTCATACGTCACAGCTTTACATATATAGATACACATGCATAGATTTACGCATATGTATGCAATCTCTTGAGGATCTCACATGGGCCATTCACCCACCAATGATGTCAACTACACAGCTCAAATGGTTAAGTAGAAGAGTACTTTGACTCAATAGAAAGTCTAGGAGAGTACAGTGAGACATAGCAGAACAGGTCAAGTGGCCAGATGCATGTCACATTAAAAATAAAGATGTGTTTAGGAGTCACGGTACTCATAAGAAACACAGGGACAATAATATTGCCATACCTTAAGTGACTGTAGAACTAAGACACCTATTTAAGCAAAATAAAAGAAACTGGTGTGTATACTAATTTTCTTCAGATTTAAGAATAGTAAAAAGTGCCTAAAGAAAAGTGTTATTGGTACTAAGAGAGAAAACACTGCTTTTTTACAGGCCTTTACAAATTTAAGAAAGACGCTGGCAGGGGATAAACAGAAGTATACAGGACATGACGGTAAAGACAGCCCCAGAAACGACAACTATTATCAAGATTAACAATATTACATTTTCAATATAGGAAAGTCCAGTGTGGAAGAAAAGCCGTTCTCCTCCATCTAGGCTTTCTATAAAGCTTAATAACTAGCTAGTCCAAGCAAAACTGAGAAGTTGCTACTGGAAAGTCCTATACATCTTCCTTCCCTAACTACTGTTAGCCCATCACCAATGTTATCAGTGAAGGAGATAGGACAATATGCAGAGAAGGCTGCCTGGAAAACACTGCCCATCACTGTTGAGCAAGTACCTTCTCCAACCCACTCTAAGACATGGGACAGGCATCTACTGCCTCAACAGCCCCGAAGAGATTCATAGAGCTGCTCATCGCCAAGCGAGGGAGAGGTAGCTGGGGTAAGGGGCTGGTCAGCCAGAAGCCAGACAAAAATAGGAGGAAAACCAGATGTAGAAGAATTTGGATAGATGAGGAATTTCATGTTGGACGAACTTACATACAGCTTTGGTTGAAATGCCAGATGAGATAACATTATGGGAGTGCATTAATTATATACCACTGTGAAAATTTACCAGTGCAAGCTCAACTTCTAACATCCCATTACAAATGAAAATTTAGTTATCTATGTACCTCCTTGTTGCCCCGGGAAAGTACAGTTTTGCAGAACCAAACTAGATGGATAGTTCATTTTTATTGTCCCTAAGTGGGCCTGACCTCCCGTTATCAACTTGTTTACGGAGCCGTTACTAAAATGATATTACACTGAACAGACGTATTTGGTTCTAAATTCCAACATCTTCCTATTCTCACGTTACAAACTGATAGACGTGAAATCTCCCCAATCCACATTCTTCAGTGGTGCTAACTACCACCCTATTGCATTTTCCATTCTCAACTAACATCATATCTCTACATCTCACGTTCCTGTTTTCAAATTAGCCAGTACCTCTTAGCTTAATTTTCTTTTTTCTGCAAGTCTTCTAAATCTGTCACGTCATTTTTGAAACAAGGTGACCCAAAAAGAGACACAGACACAGTCTGTGTCAGACAGCCAACAAGACAAAACAGCATAAAATAATGCGGCCTAGATTTCATGCATATGGGGTTACAGCACCGAGTGACCTAAGCAGAACACATACAGAAGATGACAGGAGACTAGCTTAGGCAATTTGTCAAAGCAATCTCATAACCCCTTCACCGAGAAATATGGTAAATATGTTGAGAGACAGTGACACACACCCGGAAGCAACTCCTATTGTCCGGGCAATAACGGGGAATGAATTGACACGGAGTGACTGCTGACACCTGAAAGAGGTCGCTAATGACAATTCATGCATTTTAGCAGCGATAATATCCTCTGCCTGGTCAGAGTGTTGGCATGTATATAATTTCTGTATTTATTTTAAAGCCTCAGAAGGATGTAAAAAGCCAGAAGCGTATTACGAA